TTAAATCCCAGGAAGCCACATATTGCTTAAATTTAAAATACCTACTTATTTGAGTTCAATGGTTCTTGTGCTTTGCAACTTCACATACACACATAAAAAGATCAAGTTATTGTGTGGGAATTCTATCAAACGTCTCAGAAGGTGTCATGTAAGTGCAAGTACTATTAGATAATAATACTCATATATATAGTTAAAATGGAAACTATATGTATATAAATTTCCTCAATTTCCTATTCACTTTCTCCTCAATACAGCCCTAAATCTGGATGAAAAAAGGGAACCTATTAGAAAAAAGAATTCTCAATTTAGATCAGTCAATGATGACACAGATCCACATCCACAATTTTAACATAAATCAAGAATCATTTACCAAAGAGCTTTTCAAATTCAAAATCTTGTTAATAAGCAAATGTACTTCAGGAATAACAACACACATTCATCTAGCAAAAATCCAACATTCGCCAAATTGCAAAATTTTAAATATGATTTTTCCTTCTTTTCATCTCACCCTGGACCGGTACGACATAATACAGGAAAGTTTAAAAGTACTTTCAAGGTCAGCAGTAAAAAACAAAACAAAAACAAAGTTCAAAACAAAACAAAAACCTCTGAGCACTGAAAAAACGTGTTAGGTAGTCACAGCATAATCAATTTCTCAGATTTACCTTTATTAATATTTATTACAAGATCACCCTGCAGAAATGAAGTTCACCATTCATTTAAAAACTCAAAGGCAGAACATGTTGTTTATTAACAAAGAAATAAATCAGTTGCTCTTTCAAAAAAAAAACTAGACTCTTCTGGTAAAATTGAAAACAGCATTGCATCAAGAAGCAGATTTTATGGATAGACACCAAATTCTAAAACTTTTAAGTTTTAATGATTTTAATTTTTTAAGTGTCTATAAAACAGACTTTTTGTTTTAAAAGAACTCAATAAATAAGTACCATTGTTATTATCTTCTTGATAGTAAAAAAGTAAAATAAAAAAATTAAAATAATCAGTGGTGCCTAAGGATTTTTTTTAAAAATTGTTTTCAATTAGGTATTTTTAGCTCATTTTTTAAAACTTACCAGTGTCTCACTTTTCTTTCCAAGTTCTTTTCCAGGACCATGATGGATGGACCTCTTATTTTTTTCATTTCACCGTTACCTTATTTCATTGATGATTTTATTAAAACAGGAAAAATACTGCCAAAACCACTTCATTACCCAAAACGTAAATTTCAAGGTACCTGGACAAGATTCGTTTATGCATGTAAAAATCTTTTGCATATATGCTATATGAACCACATGGCGAACAAAGTATGGAAAAGAGAAGAGCCTTTGCCTCCTTGTACCTGAATCCTCTTGCACCCATTATACTAAGCGAGCCTTGAGTGTCCCCCTCCCCTTGAGCACTGACAATATAATTCCACAATAATGAAGGAATGTGATGGGAGTATAAAGAGCTAGGTTACACCAATGCCATGGACTGAACTTCTCTAGGCTGCAGCGAATCCTCTTCTAAAATAGTTAGATTACATTTCTTCTATTTAAGTAGGCTGTTAGGAACCTAATTCAGCACTGGCTACATTACTTATAATAGCAAAAACCTGTTAACAACTTAATGTTACTATTAACCAATCTTCCAAACAATGGAATACTATACAACCCTTAAAAAGCTGTAGATCTGTATGTAGTTATTTAAAGGATGTCCCAGGTAGTCCACTAAAACAAGAAAGCAAAGTGCAAAGAGTATCACCCAATTTGTATGTATTTTAAGACAGATGTACATATATATGTTCAAAAACTTTCTAGGGGGTCACATAAGAATCTTCAAAATGGTTATCAGTGGTGAATAGTGTACTAACTTTAAAAAAAACTCTTATAGCTTTTTATAATATTTGGGGGGAAATTAAATAATGAACATGTATTATTTTTACCAATTTTTAAAAGAAACGAAAGAAAAGGTCGGCTGATCCAGGTTTTATAATTGGGAAAGACTTGGGTTCACATACTGGCTTTGCTATTTACCATCTGTATGATGTTAATAAATTATTTAACCTCAATTTCTCCATCTGTGAAAAGGAGTTAATAGTACTAACCCCACACAATTGTTGGCAGTATAAAAGGAAATTACATAAGACACTCAGCATAGCACATTGTAAAAGGACAACTATCAGCAGCTATTACTATGATTATTATAAATATTATTATAAACTCCAGAAACTGAGACAATTGACTCAAAGCATTGACGATTCATTCACCGATAACCAATCTCAAAGGCAACCAATTTCCTTTACTCAAAACTCAATCTGATCAGTATAACAAAGAGCACATCTATTAACTTAAAGTTAAAAAAAAAAGCTATCACAGGTAGCAGGTGAGCTGATGGATATGGTAATCAGAGCAACGTCTGGGTTTTAATTAAGTACCATCTAACTAGAATAGCCTTCTTCATTATATGGATACCTATCCAAGAAGCCAGAATACTCTTGACAGCTGGGCAGGGGACCCTTCTCTTTACAAAATGCTGAATACACAGGAATACTGCCCCTTTTTAAAAAGTAATTCAAGTTTTCAACCTGAGTTTTTTTCTTATTTTAATAGACAACAATTTCTCATTTTCCTAAAAATGGCTGGCACTGACAGTTCATTTACAAATTAATTACAAATAACATGTCAATCAAGTGAGAGCTATAAAAATGAAATCCCCATAAAAATAAACTCAAAAAAGCATCCTGAATGGCTTTTTTGAATGGAAATTTTCTTCACAAGATTTTTAAAACTTCAGGCTGAATATTATCAAGTCAAAATACTCCTAGTTGTAAGTCTGGCCTCTATACTAAAAGTATTCTCAGAAGGTGAATGCTAACAATATTCAATTTTATTTTTCCAACAGACCAAGAATATCCCAAAATTCTATATAAAACTTGAAAAGATGATGCATTAAGATAGATTAAATGATATTTAGTATAACTGGTTTGAGTCCATCACATTACAATTTTAACAGGCCTTCCTGGTATTAGAAAACAGTTTCAATATCAATGTGATGGACTGAAGTTTGGATTACCCCTATTACAATTACAAAACAAAAACGAAAGGCCACGCAAGACAATCCTTTTCAATATGGAAATGAAACAGGCTCTACTTAATTTATCTACCATAAGTTTGTTAGTATTTAAACCTTTAGAACAGTAACTATTTCGAATCACATAAGTAGGTACATTTGAATATATTAAAGAGTTACTGTAGCTTTCCTGAGAGTGACCTGAAGTTCCCACCAAAAAAAACCCCAAAAGAACAAAAAAACAAAAACCTGGCACTTGAATGATGCTCCAAGCACTGCATGCCTGCTTCATAGATCATTACACTGTGCTGAACTGACATTTGGAGACTATTGAGCTAGATACATGAAACCAAAGGGAAAGGATGGGTGAGTTTCTTAAAAAAAAAAAAGAAAAAGAAAAAAAAAAGGAAACACTTCTTAACACACCCATCACCCATAAGCAAGAGCTATCACAAACACCATTTGAAAAGACACATTTTTAATTTTTCAACATTCAAAATAGAGCAAGCAGGTAACCTACCACAGCAGATCTCCCTACCCATTCTCTCCCCCACACAGTGCTTTGCCAAGAGCACAAACCCAAGTAAAATAAGCGAGGCAATTTCCTTGTTTACTTAAAGAATTGCAGAAAACATGTTGACTGCTTCCGAGGCTTCTGAAACAAATGCATTTTCAACATTTAAAAGACATTTCATGATCACGTTTGAAACAACCGAGTAGTAATGATTCCTTCAGCTAGTAAAAAAAATACAGTTTTAACTTCATAAAAAGGGTTAAATTTTACTCTGCAGCTCATTAGCATGCCTTGTTTGCAACCAGAAGGAAGAGGGAAGGGGGGGAAGCAGCAAAACACACAAGATGGAAAACATTACTACCTCTTTTTCGGTGGTTATGAATAATTTTAAATGACCCCAAGATGTATGGGAAGAGTTCATGAATAAGAAAGAAAGAGGTTTAACAATCTGAACTGGCCCCTTCCAGATTCATACTGATGTCGGGAGAGAAAAAGGAATTTATTTACACTGCAGTGCCTGGCAGCAAACATGGCTGCCCCTGCCCCCTTTAAATCGGAATAGTCTTCACTCCCTCACCAAAACCATCAAATTATGGCCATGTCTCTCCCTGTCTTGCTACCATTACACTAACACATCTCCTCCTCCCTCAAAGCAGTAAAACCCACACCTCCCCATTTCACAACATCATAACCACCAGCTTCTCTATTCTCTAGTCTTGAAAGAAAAGGCATAGAATACACACAAATATAGGGACAAAAGGCTTTCCCTTCCTTACACTTTAACACTCCCCTTCCCCTTCTTTTCCTCCCACTCTGTGACGCTTGGTCCACAGTTCTCATCCTTCTCAACATTCAGCTAATTTCCTTCCCTATCCCAAGCCTGGGTCTTCCAGTTTCCTGAGTCTATTTCCTATCTCCCTCCTGCATCCTATCTCAGTCCTTTCTCATCCCTTTTTCCTAATCCACCTTCCCCCCTCCCCACTTCCATTCCCTCGTGCTTCCCTTGAGGCCCCATTTCTCCATCAAATTCTATCTCCTTCCTCCAGACTCTTCTAGTTCCCATACTCCACCCCCAAACCTGCCTATTTGTCAGTCTGCCCAGGTCTCTAATATCCAAACCTAACTCTTCTCCTCGCTCCCTGCCCCTCCCCCGTTCCATCTTTATCCCCGCCCCCATCCCACCTCTACTCCCAATTCCCAGCTCAGCGCCACTCCATCTCTCATCCCAATCCGACCTCCCCTGCCCCACCTCCTAATCCCCTCCACACCTCCCACCTTGCCCCATCCTTCTAGACGCCCCTCGAATCCTTTCAGGCCACCCGCTAGCCCTCCCATCCCTGCTAAGGTCTCTCTCCCTACCCTGGTCCCATTCCTCGATCGCCCCCTCCTCAGCCCTTCCTTCCAGTACACACACACTCACATGCATTCACTTTACCTTCAGTTTGTTCCATTCTAACCCCCCGGCCGTGTCAGTACGATCACAGGAGAGACACGGAGGCCCGGAGCGGGGCTGGGGTGCGGGCAGCCGCCGGGGCCGCGGGGGGAGGAGACGGAACCAAGCTAGGCCGCATGAAATCCCCGGGCTAAATTTCCCCCGCGCCGGAC